CATGTTCTTGCTCTTTCTCACTCTCAAATCCATTCACGGACATTCTCCCACAGAGAACCATCTTACTTTTACAAAGGACATGTTTAACATTATGAACATGGGGGGGGGATATGTATATATAGATTTTTCATGATATTTATGCTACGCATGATATATATGTATGTACATATATAGTATACATAAATTGCTTATATACCTAAGTTGCCAAACTGGGCAACTTAGTGAGACCCTATTTCAAAATAGAACATTTTTAGCCCAGCATGGTGGCACATGCCTGTAATCCCAAGAGGCTGGGAAGGAGGATCACTGCAAGTTCAAGGCCAGCCTGATCTATACAAGGAGACCCTGTCTCAAAAAACAAAAAACAGAGCCAGGGATTTAGCTCAGTGGTGCTGCCGCCTGCCTTGCAAGCACAAGATCCTGAGTTAGATCCCCGGTACCAAAAAAACCAAAAACCAAAAACAAAACCCCAAAAAACAAAACCACCAAAAAACAAATGAATGACAACAAAGAAAAACACATAAAAGGGCTGAGGATGTTGCCCATTGTGAAGGTCCCGGGTTCAATCCCCAGCAACACTAAAATAATAAATAAATAAATAAATAAATAAATAAATAAATCTCACAATAAAAGACAAACTTCCAGGGAAGAATAAGTAGCAACCTTAGTTAGCCATTTTGAAATCATCTATCTTGCTAAAAATTCAAAAATTAGGTATAGAGGGCCAGGGATTTAGCTCAGTGGTTCTGCCACCTGCCTTGCAAACATAAGGTCCTGAGTTTGATCCCAGGTAGCACACACACACACAAAAAAATTGGTATAGAATATTCTGAGCATTTATATGCCTTTCATTATTATCACCAACTTATATATGTTAAAAGACAATCAGGAATCTCTTTATTATCTCCTTGGGTAGAAAATCACAGGTTGCAAAATTTTTTTAATCCTTTAATCTACATGTTACATGTCGCATGTCTGTGTGCTCTTTCAGTCATTCTCACTGGTTCACTACAACAGGGTTATAAATTGGGTCACAGACTTCATGGTATTCATAATATCATGAACATATGATTTTTTATGTATATATTATTGTTGTTTTGGCAGGGAAGGGTTTCTATGAACCAGAAAGGTTAGAAACTATTGCTTTAGGTAAATTTATTGATTTTTATTTTTAAAAAATAATCATTATTGCATTTGGAGCCCCTTCAATATTTTTTCTAGTTCTTTTTCAGGGCAGGAGTCCACCTAATTTCTGGTTTGCATTTGATAATGGCATATCAATTCCTTGTTTTCACCTTAATAGTCTTCTAATTAAAAACAAGAAATACTTTCCTCTACCAATTAGTCATAAGGGATTTCAAGGGTGTTTCATTTTGTTTTGGTTTGTTTTCCAAAGTACAGAAAGATGGAAAGATGGAAAAGGCAGAGAGTGATGCCCACATAGAAAATGACAGGCAGGAAGACAAGCAGCTAGAGATGCAGGCACAGATAAAAGGCCTAAGGACAGACAGAATACAGGCAAAAGAAATACAGAGAAACCTAGAAACACACAAGGAGAGACACAAGAACCAAGTAGATAGAGAAGGAGGATGGGAGAAAAATAGACAGGCTGGCAGGAAGCAAAAGGATGACTGACAGAGAAGCAGACAAGATTATCAGAGAGAAATACAGACATGCAAACAGAAAGGGGAAGAGAGAAAGAGAAAGAAGGTAGACAGATGAAGGAAGAATACAAGGTAAGAAGGAAGACAAAGTGATAATACTGTTTTATACAATATAGTGCCTTATAATTTATAAAGTGCTATTGCATACATTATTACAGGCAGACAGGGAGAATCCCACAGACAAATGGGGTGATAGACGAATACAGGCCAATCAGACAGAAGAGAGGGGAGATAACCAATCAGAAAGAGGCTAGAATGGAGACCAAGACAGATAAGAAAGAATCAAGAACAGAGAAGGGAGGGCACATAGAGATAGAGGCTGAAACAGTTAAATTCAGGAATATAGGCAGTAAAAAAGCAGAAATGAAAGAAGAGTACATTGGGTAGAGAAGGTGTATCATGTTTCTCAGAGACCTGGTTAGAGGCTGAGTCTCTCTATCTCTGTCAAAAGTTATAATGTTTTAAGATGGTATGGAGAGGATCCAGAAGAAAGGGTAAAAAAGAAGAAAAGTTTTAATAAGGAGCAAAGCTTTTTAGATGAGAAGAAAGACAAATTTCTTGGGCACTCTAAGTCAACAACCTAAAAGGATCTAGATTCATATGCTAAGTGGGAAAGGTCTCTACTCTGTAAATATATAAGTACCGCTTATAACTGTAAGTACTTATAATATACCTATATTTTTATGTTAGTTTTTAATATGTGCAGGCCTTTCATGTCTTTTCTTAACTAGGTCATATTTCAGTGAAAAGACCGACAAAGATATGCTGCCCTCCATATAACTTACTATGTGGAGTGGGAGAGAGCAAACACTACCTAAGCACTCCTTTTGTACTGATTGTCAAGATCTGCAAACAGTCAATTAAAAATATAAGTGCCAGGGGGCTGGGGATTTAGCTCAGTGGTGCCACTGCCTGCCTCGCAAACCCAAGGTCATGAGTTTGATCCCCAGGGGGGGAAAAAAAAAATACACACACACACACACACACACACACACACACACACACACCATAAAAAAAATCAGAAAGGCAAAAGGGGCAAGAGGTGGCAAGCTCAACAAAGACAGTAAAGAGACTAACAGAAGGAACATTCAGCAAAGTTAGGACAGAAATATTAAGAAGCAAGTATTGGACTTATATATGTGTAGACTCTTCTCTGGGGCAACATCCAAGAAATGGGACATAGTGGCTGCCTCTAGGGACAAGAACTCATGCCCTGGGGGAGAGGCATGGGCAGAAGGCTTACTTTATACAGTATAGGTTTAGTCCTTTAAAAATTTTATATCATGTATATGTCTATTAAAAAATTCATTGGGAGGGCCAGAGATTTAGCTCAGTGGTTTTGCCGCCTACTGTGCAAGCGTAAGGACTCGAGTTCAATCCCCAGTACCCCCCCCCCAAAAAAATTCATTGGGGGAGAAAGAAAGAAAGAGAAAGAGGGAAGGAAAATAAATCAAGCAGAGATGTAGACAGTAAGGACCTGCCAAGCAAACAGCCAAAAGGCAAGAAAATATCAAGAGACTGGGAAAATGGCAAAAAGACTAAGGCAGGCAGACTGTCTGAAGAAGCAGAAAGTCAGAAAGAAAAAGACAAGTGTGAGAGAAGGCAGGGTAGGGGATATGGTATGAAGCAGTTAAGATTTTGGGGCAAGGGGATTATTGACAGGACTGGAAAGAGAGACCCTCCCTATTGATGGATGCTGGCAGAGAGGAAGCCAAGGATAAAAAGCTGATACATATTAAGTGAAAAGATACAGGCATTAAACAGTTGGGACAGCAGGCAAGCAAGCAGAGTAGATAGGCAAGAAGACAGACCTAAAGGGAGGCAAGAAAAAATGATGATCTTAACAGTGATAAATAGGAGGGACAAGTAGAAGGGCAAGATAAGAGGTAAACATGATAGGGAGTCAGGGTAGGGCCTGGAAGGTACACAAACCAAGAGATGCAGGCTAAAAAAGTGATAGAGACAGGCAGGCGGGGAGACAGATGGCCGGAGAGAAAGTGGTGGGCAAACAGCCAGAGAAACAGACAACCAGAGAGAGAAAGAGGCTGCCAGCTAGTCAGGGAGAAGCAGACAGGGAGGCAGGGAGACACCATAACAGGAGCAAGCAGGTAAAAAGGCAGGCAGAAACATGGATAGAAGAGGAAAAAATCAAGGGGTCAGTAAGGAGGAAAGGAAAGGAAAGGAAAAAGAAAAGAAAAAAGAGAGAGCAAGCAAGTAGGCAAGCAAGCTGGCCAGCCAGAGACACAGACAGGCAGAGGGGGGGATGAACAAGGAGAGAATCAGGCAAATTAACAAATGCATATGTAAAGCACACTGAAGAGAGAGAATGAAGAAGTCTTCACAGGGATACACATGGCTACCCACACCTACAAATTGTGGCACATGTGACAGGCAGGCCAAGGTGCTTGGCACAAAGGGAGAGGGCACAAGGCAGAGAGAAACTGGTCCGCATGATGTGCTGTGTGGCCCAAACACATGTGAAATAGACACTTTTCCCAGACTCTGTACAATCCACAGTGTAACACAGAGGGCTGGAAAAGAGGGGTCAGGCATATGAGGAAGAGCCAGATGAGGCCAGAGACCAGAAGACAGAAGTAAACAGAAGACAGTCAGTCACTCTGATGTGATGCAGCCTGAGGGTCAAAGTGATGAGAAAGACAGTGAAAAATAGACACACGTACAGAGAAGCCCATATACAGAAATAGGGGGATACATAGGCAGATTAGCAGACAGAGGGGAGAAAAGAGCTAAATTACATGGAATGAAATTCTACTCAGTATACAAATGATATGGGAGCATTCCACAGGCCAGGTTAAAAAACAAGATGGAAACAATGTTCAATAACATGCATTAGTATAGGGGAAACATCAATAAAAAACATTTTAGCCTTATAAACAAAAATTTGTAGTGTTCTCTTGTCTCTAATACTTTTTGGTTGCTGCTTACTCCTTCTTAGGGTGCCCACTGCAGAAACTGGGGGTCTGGCAATTACACTTAAGATGTAGAGAAATGACCCAAAAGAGAGATGATTTTACAGGTCTGCAATGTAAAGCAAGGGAAGGGGCCAAAAGAGGTCAATGGAATGGGAGGAAACTAATGTTAAGAAAAGGGTGAGGAACAAAAAAGGTAGAAGTGAGCTATGTGCCTTCTTTCCTTTGCTCCACTGGCAAGTTTTATGTCTAGACCTCTCTGATCAAATCTCTGTGTGAAAAAGCTGCTTTTAGACTCATTTTCAACTGCCAGCTGATTCCTGGTACCACTTTAAGATAAATGCTGAGGTACAGTTGGAAATCATGGTCAGCAAGTTAGATGAAAATGCCTCAGTGTAATAAATACCTCTTTCTTTTTCTCAATCCCAGTTACTTTTCTCTTTCTGGATACCTCAGTTTCTTCTGCTTTAACACTGTTGGAGATCATGAAGGAAGGGAAATATACTGAAACAGGAGAAAAGAGAAAATAATTTCACCACCTTCATACTTTCTCTTCTTTATTCTAAAAATTTGTTTTACCACCAAATTAACTTCTCAAGCGAGATGAATTTTACATGCAAGCAATTAAGAGAGGAGTAGGCAAGGAAAAGGGGAAAAGAGTGAAGATAAAAATTACAATTACAAATCACTGAAAGGCTGGGCAAAGGGGAGAATCAAACATGGATTCCTTTGAAAAAAACCTCAATCATTGTATCTATTCATATCTCTTCCCCCAAAAGTCACTATGATTTCTGTCATATTTTTTAAAAAAGAAAAAATCCAGTACCGCTTCTCATTTAAAAGATATGTACACAATTAAATGCATTTCGACTTCAATGAGGTATGTAGCAACAGAGTTATATATAAACATATATTTCATCTTTTTCCTTTTCAATGCCTGAAGGGGAAAAAAACCCTTCACATCAAACCACTCCCTTCTAAAGTATTCAAAAAAAAAAAAAGCTTGTCTTTAGAGAAGGGAGGTGGAAAGGAAGAGACTAGTAAAGAAAAAAATTCAATCTAGTTGGACTAGTATCTAACTAGTTAACCTTTAACAATTTATGCTGATGTCAGACTGAGCATGAGTACTGATTAATGCCCCCCCTAAATATTTTTATATGGGGGGAGTTAGTCACAGCAGCCATTTTTGTTTTATGCAGAAATCCTTCATGCCCCCCCAACACACACACACACACACACACACACACACATACACACTTCAGTACACAAGGAAAATATCTCTATTAATGTGTGCACTAATCAGTTATGAAAAAAGGGAGAAATTTGTGAGTTTCTGGGTAGGGGCTTGAAGATGGGGGTGTGACAGGGAGAATGGGGGGGGGTAAAAATGAAATATTAAGCCAGCCATTTTGTTTTAAAAGGGGATTTTCCCCCCTCTCTCTTTCTTTATGGAAGGGGTGGCGGTGCTGGAGGGGGGGGTTGTTTTAAAAATAATTTCAAGGCGGCCATCTTAGTGCCTCAGATCTGAGAAATATTTCTGAGCGCCCCCCTCAGAATTTAAATAGATTTAAAGCCACGGGGGTGGGGGGAGAAAAGTCGAAAACTTTTATGTATATATAATTTTTTTTTTCTTTTTTTAAATAATCCCCTTTTCTTGTTCTCTTGGGAGGAGAGAGGGAAAAAAGTCTCTCCTCAAAATTTTCCAAGAACATTTTTGGGGGTGGCTTGGCCCCCCTCCTCAGACGGCGGCCCCGAGGGTGGGGGTTTTGGAGGGGGGTGG